ATTTTGACCAGAACGCACCCCATGAGTCATGCCTGGGGGTCGATTTTGAGGGGAGAGCGTTCAGACAGAGTGCAGCAGTGCGAAAGGCAACCAGCGGAGGACTTTTGTATTTTGCGGTCGAGCTTCTCGTTTCTCCCTCGTTCCAGTGTTCATCCCAATCCGATCGATCCGATTGGATATTGGTTCCTGTCAGCTCGATCCGATTCGATTCTGAAGTTCCGACGATCCGATGCGGCCTGATGCTTGCATGGCGCTGCCGCGCATTCTGGCGAAGCCGATGCGACGCGATTTTCGGCCCCGTGCCGATGCAGCCCGATCCGACGCACAGATTCGATGCGATTTCCCGAGTCGTGGCTAGGAGGAGGAGGAGGAGGAGGAGGAGGAGGAGGAGGAGGAGGAGGAGGAGGAGGAGGAGGAGGAGGAGGAGGAGAGGGAGGAGGAGGGAGGGAGGGAGGGGAGGGAGGGAGAGAGGGAGGGCGGCAGGGAGAGGGAGGGAGGGAGGGAGGGAGGGAGGGAGGGCGGCAGGAGGGAGGAGGGAGGGAGGAGGGGGGAGGGAGGGAGGGAGGGAGGGAGGGGAGGAGAGGAGGAGGAGGTGGAAGAGGAGGAGGAGGAGGAGGAGGAGAGGGGAGGGGAGGGGGGGGAGGGAGGGAGGGAGGGAGGGAGGGAGGGAGGAGGAGGAGGAGGAGGAGGAGGAGGAGGAGGAGGAGGAGGAGGAGGAGGAGGAGGATCGGAGGAGGAGGACCGATCTTGCCCCGTGGCTATGCCCCCCCCTCCTCTTGGCGGGCGAAGCGGTATACAACACCAGCCCTGCCGCCGTCGGGGACGCCTGCCCCCCCTCGGGTGGCTGGACAGTTTACTTCGTACCGCCCTTCGCCCCCTACACTTAAGTCGGGCCTGTCCCCCTACAGGGGAATTTTCGACGAAAGATATAAGATAAAATACCCCCCAAATACCCCAAAAAGGTCAAACATATTCAACACATAGTCCCCAGACTATGTTTGGATTATTTTTTGATTAGTTTTGGAGTATTTTGTTTCGTCGAAAATCCCCCTGTAGGGGGACAGGCCCGACTTAACCCTACACTCCGGTCGCTGAACGTGTTGGATTCCCAGATCCCACTCTACTTCAAGCGCCTTCCTACTTCAAGAGTCGTTCTGGTTTTGCTGTGAGGTCTTTCCCCAATCAGTGCTTGCACTGCAGGGGTCCTAGCGGAAGTTGAAGGATTTGGCAAAAGTTTCCCGCCGATTTTGGCAGCAGGCTGATTTTCGGGTTCCCGGTTCCAGGTTCTCGGGAGCCCGGTTACTGGTTCCGGGCCGATTTTGGTGGGTTTTGGGTTCCCGGGCTCCTGGGTTACCAGTCGATCTCCTCAGCGAAAACCATCCCTTGATTGGGTTTTTTTCGGGTGTCATTCCCTACCTAGGCTCTGCCTAGAAAGGTTCTTACTCGCTTGGCTTAAAGGGCTGGGCAGTGGAACCCGCCCTGGGCGGTTCCCCCGGTCCCCTGGGAGCCAAGCAAAAACAACAGCAAAGGTAAAAGCAAACGCGCGGTTCCCTGGGTGCCAAGCAAAAGCAAAAGCAAAGGCACAAGTGAAGGCAAAAGCGAAGGCAAAGCAAACACATGACATAGCATATCATAGCATAGCATAGCATAGCATAGCATAACATATCATAGCATAGCATAGCGCAGCATAGCATAGCGCAGCATAGCATAGCATAGCATAGCCTAGCCTAGCCCAGCATAGCATTGCGCAGCATAGCATAGCATAGCATAGCATAGCATAGCATAGCACAGCACAGCACAGCACAGCATAGCATAGCATAGCATAGCAGAGCAGAGCATAGCATAGCATAGCGCAGCACAGCATCCACCCTACTAATGTTGCTTTCCTAGAGTCTCCAACCCATAGGTAGGGTCGCACTGGGATGATTTTTGGTTCCCCAGATCCCACACAAGAGTCGATCTGGTTTTGCCGTGCCCTGCTGTTCCCTGGGAGGGCCTGAGCCCCATCTGCTCCGTCCGCCCTCCTGCTCCCTGCTTCTGCCCGCCTCCTCCGACCGAGGGGCACTCCTCCCCCCCCGCCTCGGGCCGACGCCGCAGCCGCCAAGACCGCACCGATGGCTCGACGGACGGCGGCCTGCCGCCCGCCGCGCTCGCCCGCAGCGTGCACGCGCGGACCCGGTGCGCGCCCGTACGGGGCGTGAAAACGACCACAGCCACTGTTTTTCTTTTGTTGCCGCCTTCCAGTCCGCAGAAGCAAAGCAGTGGTTGTGGTCATTTTCGCTGAGCTTGGCACCAGGGGAATGACCACAACCACTGCTTCTTTTTCGGCCGGCTGGAATGCGGCGGAAACAAGAATTCGGATGCAATTCTTGGGAGGTCAAATTCTGTTTTCGCCCTGGTCCGAAATCCGGCTTAATCCAGCTTAATCCCGCTTAATCCGGTTTACTTCCCGCTTAATGCCGCTTAATCCAGCTTAATCCTGTTTGGTCCGAGGCCCACTCCGGCGTAACAGCTCTCAAATGGGGCTTAATCTTCCTTAATCTTTCCGACAAAAACCTCCCAGTAGTTGCCTCCTAACAAGAAGCAGTGGCTGTGGTCATTTTCCCGTCCCGCAGCCCGGGGGGGCCGGCCGCCCGCGGGAGGTTTCCTTTCGTCGCAGCGGCGCGGCGGCGGCCCCGCTCGCCGGGCGCTCCAGGCGGAGCGCGGCCAGTGGCCCAGAACGGTCCAACGTTTGCCAGCCTCGAACTTCTCCCTATCCCTAAGATTGGCACGCCAAAAGGCGACGACAATCTTAGGGATGCGCCCTCAAAAAATAAGGGAATCCCCAAGACTGGCATCGTGATGAGATGCCCGGCACAGGGATAGGGACATGTTCCAGGCTGGTAAAACGTGGAACGATCTGGCGATCGGTACCGCTACTCTCTGTCCGAGGCGGGAATCTATCCATATCCACCGCCTGGAGGGTCAGTTTTCGGAGCCTCGGCAGGCGGTGGATATGGACATCTTCGGGCCGATGGGGGCCGAAATATACAATTACATATCCACCGCCCGCTGGGGGCACCAGGACGTCAGTTCCCAGGCGGTGGATATGGATAAATCCCCGCCTCGCACTCTACCCTTCCCTCGTTTTATCCTTTTTTGACCTCATGGGAGATGCCCTCGTCGCCACCGCTGGGTTCGCCTCGCAGTTCTGGTCAGATCGTAGCCCAGGGGAGGTAGGGGGAGTAGCGGTACGGGTACCATTTGGTCTCCCCAGGACGGGCTTCCTAGATGGGGTCCGAGTAGATGGGGTCGAAGGATCGCGCCGCATCCTAATGCATCGCCGATGCATCGGCGATGCATCGGCGATGCGTCGGCGACGCTTCCGCGACGCTTCCGCGACGCTCGGCGTGGGGTTGAAGCCGGGCTCCACATCGAGCCGCATCGCCGATGCGTCGGCGATGCGGCGCGATTCTCCAGCCCCATCTGGGAGGCCCAGCCCGGGAACGGTCTGGCGATCGGAAGCCGCCCACCGCTCGAGGCGGAACGACCCACGCGGCGCCAGGGGCCGGCGCCGAGGTCCTCGCGGCCACCGAGCGGGCCGTGGCTGCCCGTGCCTCGCCGCCGAGGCCTCCGCCCGGGCGCCGGCGGCGGCCCTGCTCCGCCCGCCTGCTCGGTGGGCGGGGCAGCGCTGGCGGCGGCGGCGGGCGAGGGTCCAGAGGGGACAGAGCATACAGGCAAACTGAAGCGTCGACTCCCAGGAAGATGTGGGCACATAAAATAAAAAAAATGGGCAGGGGGGGGGAAGACGAAGGCCCAGACGAGGTTGGGCAGCAGGAAAGCGTGGGGATCCTGGGATCTGCGTCTGCTCATTCGTGTGCCCCTGGGCCCCCTTATGGAGGGGGCTGCCGCTCCCGCCGCAGGGCCCGCTCCCCCCCCCCCCCGCGGCGGGCAGTGCTGCCAGCCCCGGCCGGAGCCCGCCGCGCCGCCGACTTGACCTTCGAGCCGAGGCTCCCCCCTCGCGACGCTCCCCCCTCGACGCTGCTCTCCTCGACGCTGCCCCTCGGGCCGGTGCCCCCTCGACTAGGGGGGCACGTGCGAGCCCTACCCCTACCCCCCGCGATTTCTGAGGGGGGAGGGTGGGGTTCACTTCGTTCGGGAGCTCCCGAGCGAAGTGAGCCCCACCCTCCCCCTCAGAAATCGCGGGGGGTAGGGGTAGGGTTCGCACGTGGTCCCTCCTCGGCGCTGCCCCTCGAGAGGCGCGGGGGGGGGGCGGCGGCCCCCGCGGCGGCTCCCACGGCGCCAACGCCGCCGTACGGCCGCCCGAGGGCGCGCGGCGGCCCCCCCCCCACGTCGACGGCCAGGCCGCCTCGGGCACCGCCCGCGCGCGCTCCGCGCAGAGGGCGGACGCGGCGCTGGGCGTGCTGGCCCACCGCGCGGGCGGGCTCCTCGCGGGGGCCGCCCGCCACCCGCTCGGGGCTCGTGCCGAGTCCTCCGCTCGGGCTTCGACTTCGATGCGATTTCGATGCGAATTCGATTCCGGTCCGATTCGACCTCGGGCTCGGATGTGGCTCCCGTCTTCCCGACGGGGCTTGGCTGCTCTGCCGATCGTGCCGCCGCTTCGGCTCCTCCCGACCTGGCCGTCGAGTTCCGCCGCCGGAGGCGGTGCCGGGGGCGAATAGCCCAGGGGAGACAGTGCCGCTTTTAATGCATGCTCCGCGTGCGGATCATGTATTAAACATGCAGGGATTTAGTATAAAGAACAACGATGAGTTCATGCATAGATTTAATCCTCAATTGATCATGTATTCAAAATATTGTATTTTTTAACGTCCCATGTATTAACAACTGCCCTGTATTCCGGTGCGCCGATGATCCCTGTCTTCGGAAGAGGCTCCCAGGCGAATGCGTGTGACGCCCGCCCCTGGGCCATTCGCCCACATCGTCGCCCCCGACGCCGGTCCGATCAATTTTGATCGCCGACTCGCCCCCTCGATTCATGATGCTCCAGCCTGCTTTAGCCTGAATCGCCAGAAAGAATCTCGAGCGCCAAACAAAGTACCGAAACTCGCGGGTTTTCACGCGTCGGGCCCTAGGCGGCACTCAGCCCGACACTGCCTGCCTCGACGCTGTCTCGACATTCCTCTGACACTTCTCCGGGTGCTCGCAGTCATTTCTGGGATGTGGTCCTTATGTGCAGTGCCGTTTTTAATACATGCTCCGCATGCGGATCATGTATTAAGGATGCAGGGATCTACTATTGAAAACAACGATGAGTTCATGCATAAATCTATTCGTACATTAGCCATGCATTTTAATCCTATATTTAAAGATCCTATGTATTAAACACTGCCCTGTAGGATGGGAACAACATAGCCCTCGATCCGAGCCTGGCCTCTCCTGCCCCACCGCGCCGGCGGCGCCCTCGCGGGGGGCGCCCGCCGCCCGCTCGGCCAGGAGCCGAGGTCTCAAGGGGCCTGCCGGCCTCCCGCCGCCGTGGGCCCCCCCCCCCCCCCACAGCCGCCCTCGGCACGGAGGGTAGGGCCCCGTGCAGCGCACCGCTGCCCGAGGTGCACCTCCTCCTCCTCCGTCCTCCTCCTCCTCCTCCTTCCCTCCGTCCTCCTCCTCCTCCTTCCCTCCGTCCTCCTCCTCCTCCTCCTCCCTCCCTCCCTCCCTCCCTCCCTCCCTCCCTCCTCCCCCTCGTCCTCCTCCTCCTCCTGCTCCTCCTCGCCTGGGGCGCCGCAGAAGCGGCCAGGAGGTCGGCGTGGGGCGCGGGCGCTGGCGTCCAGCGCAGGCCCGCCCCGCTCGCCGCCGGGTGGCCCCTCGCCGGCGGCTCGCGGTGGAAGTCGGAGCGAAGGCCCAGCTGCTCCAGCGCTGCCCCCTGCGGCACCCTGCGCCACTCACCAAACCCCCCCAGCCCAACCCAAAGGCCTCAATTTGCCCTCCATTTCGAGTGGGGTGGGGGTCGGGGAACGTTGAGAAAACACATGGAACCCGTACCCCCCCCCAACCCGAAATTCAGGCCAAACTCGGGTCTTCGGGTTGGGTTGGGGTGGTCTGGTAGGTAGTCAACCCTGCGCCTGCGCGTCGAGAGTCGCCCGAGCTCTGGCGCGCGCTGCGGGTGGAGCTCCTTGCCCCGTCGCCGCGGCAGGAGTGGGCCGAGGCGTGGTCCAGCCGCGCGTCGCTCTTCCTCCCGGCACGTGGGTCAACAGCCCTCCTGGTTGAGCAGCTGGGCCTTGGGCCTGATCGGCCAGGCCGTGACAGCCAACGACCTTGACTCCGCGTGCCGGCTTCCTCTGCCCATTCGCCCTCGTTGACCGCTCCCCTCCCCCGAGTCCTGCCCTGCCCTGTCTTCCCCTCATCGGAGGCGGCCAAGAAGGGGCGTGGATGAACATGGCCAGGGCCAAGAATTCTCTCCAGCAGGGCTGGACCTAAACGGTTTTTCTGGTGATTTCGTGGGCCGTTCTCGTTTCGACTTCGTTTTGCCGCACAGGCGGACTGGAGACAAAGCGAGGGATAACGAAAACAAAACTAAAACGAAAAACACCGTTTAGGTTCAGCCCTGCTCTCCAGATTTCATGGCCCCCCTTTCTCTTTCAACACGTTCTGTGGTTCCCCGCGTCCGCGCACCGGCCTCGGGCCATGGTTTGCCATCCCCCCTGTTGGATGCCCTCCTCTTGGACGCCCACACTTCAGGCCGGAGTTCCTCAACAGGCTGGACGAGATCATCGTCTTCAAATCGCTCACGAAGCCCGAGGTTGCACAGATTGCGGAGCTGGAGTTCAAGCGGGCCCCTCAGCGCTGGCAGCATGCCGCGTCGGTAGGGATGGCGACGGGTAGAAGGAGGAGGAAGAGGAGGAGGAGCATCAGGCCGAGGAGAATCAAGGGAATGGGGAGGCCCGAGACTACCGACGTTGTGATTTTGGTCACAATTTTGTGGTATTGTTTTTCTTGTCGTTTTGATATTTTCGCCTCCTGGGGCCGGCTATTGGGCCGCATGGCTAACAAGAGCATAGGGCGAACAAACGATCCCAGGGAAGGGGTAATAAGCTCTGGGGGCCCAGGATGGCACACATCATATCGTCGCAGGTCGCGTGATGATGATGCTGATGATGATGATGATAATGATGATGATGATGATGCTGATGCTGATGCTGACGCTGACGCTGCTGCTGCTGCTACTTATGATGATGATGGTGATGATGATGCTGCTGATGGTGGTGGTGGTGTTGATAGTGATGTGATTGGGGCAGTGGTGATCATAGTGTTTGTGATGATGATGACGGTGTGGTGGCGGTGGTGATGATGCTAATGCTGATATGATGACAATGATGCTGATGCTGATGATGACGATGCTGCTGATGATGATGCTGATGCAGATGCTGCTGCTGATGATGATGACGATGGTGGTGCTGATGCTGATGCTGATGCTGATGACAATGATGCTGCTGATGATGATGATGATGCTGATGCTGCTGCTGATGATGATGGTTCGGATCATGATGCCGCTGCTGCTGATGATGATGATTATGCGGATGGCAATCGTAATGAGGATGCTGCTGCTGATGATGATGATGATGAGGCTGATACTGATGCTGATGCTGATGACGATGCTGCTGATGATGATGATGATGCTGATTCTGATGGTGCTGATGATGCTGATTCTGCTGATGATGATGATGCTGATGTTGCTGATGATGCTGATGATGCTGCTGCTGATGGTGATGATGATGATAAGGATGCGGATGCTGCTGCTGCTGATGTTGATCATTATGCTGATGATGACGATGATGATGATGATGATGCTGATGCTGATGCTGATGCTGATGCTGATGCTGATGCTGAAGCTGCTGCTAATGATGATGATGCTGCTGATGATGATGACGATGATGATGATGATGATGCTGATGATGATGATGACTGATGATGATGATGATGATGATGATGATGATGATGATGATGATGATGATGATGATGATGATGATGATGATGATGATGATGATGATGATGATGATGATGATGATGATGATGATGATGATGATGATGATGATGATGATGATGATGATGATGATGATGATGATGATGATGATGATGATGATGATGATGATGATGATGATGATGATGATGATGATGATGATGATGATGATGATGATGATGATGATACCGTTCTTGCGGATGATGAGGATGGTTTTGAAGACACCTACTGCGAATCACCGCCGCCCCCTGCCTTTTTGAAAGCGCCTATGTGGTCGAACGTTGAGGCCAGATCTGCCGAGCTATCGGACCATGTGTTCCCCGAATCGGTTTGGAAAGCCTTCGGGGAACACGTGGGCATCTTGAAGGTCATCTTGGTCGTCTGGAGGCCATTTTGACCCTTTCGGGCCGCCTTGGAGGACGTCTTGGAGGGCTCTTGGGCTGTCTTGGAGGCCATCTTGAGCGTCTTGGAGGCCTCTTAGGCCGTTTCGGGGGCCTCTTGGGCCCGTCTTGGGCCTCTTGGGCGGTCTTTGAGGGCACTTGGGCCGTCTCGGGCCGTTGGAAGGCCGCACAAAAAGCACATGCCACAATCCTTCAAAAACTTTTGGGAAATCAATGATTTTGGCCTTTTCGGGCCTTCTGCAAACCCTGTTGAAGGCCTCTTGAGCCATCTTGGGCCATCTTAGGGCCATCTTCGGCCGTCTTGGTGGGCTTCTGGCCGGTCTGACGCCGTCGGAAGCCGTTTGGGGGGCCTCTCTGGGCCGGTTTGGGTCCCTCTTGGGGTGCTCCAGGGCCGTCTTGGAGGCCATCTTGGGCGTCTTAAAGGCCTCCTGGGCCGTCTTGGTGGCCTCTTGGGGCCGTCTTGGGTTCCTCTTGGGCCGTTCTGGGGCCATCTGCGAGGCCTTTTGGGCGATCTTTGGGCGATCTTTGGGGGCTCTTGGGCCGTCTCGGGCCGTCGGAAGGCCGAAAAGAAGCAAATGTCAAAATCCTTCAAACACATAAGGAATATCAGTGTTTGGGCCTTTTCTGGCCTTCCTGGAGGCCCTTTTGGAGGCCTCTTGGGCCGTCTTGGGCCAGCTTCGAGCCAACTTCGGCCATCTTGGTGGGTTCCTGGCACGTCTGACGCCGTTGGGAGCCGTCTCGGGGGCCTCTCTGAACTGGCTTGGCGCCCTCTTGGGGCGCTTCGGGGCCGTCTTGGAGGCCATCTTGGGCGTCTTGGAGGCCTCTTGGCCCGTCTTGGGGCCCTCTTGGGGCCGTCTTGGAGGCCTCTTGGGCTGTCATGGGGCCCTCTTGGAGGCCCCGTGGGCGATCTTGGCGGCCTCTTGGGCTGTCTTGAGCCGTCGGAATGCCGAGAAGAGGCAAATGCCAAAATCCGTCAGAAACCTATGGGAAATCAATGATTTTGGCCTCTTCGGGCCCTCCTGGAGGACCTCTTGGAGACCTCTTGGGCCGTCTTGGGCCGTCTTGGAGGCTTCTTGGGTGAACTTGGAGGTATCTTGGACCCTCTTGGGATGTCTTGGAGGCCATCTTGGACCATCTTTGGCGGACTTGGAGGCCATCTTGGATCATCTCGGAGGCCATCTTGGGCCGACCTGGCCATCTTGGAGGCCATCTTGGACCGTCTTGGAAGATTTTTTGCGGAATGGAGCTCCTTGAAGATCGTCCCAGGACCCGGGACGCGCCGGAGCCCCAGGGGGAGTTCTTTTCGAAAAGAGCCAATACCAAAACCGAAAGGGTTCAGCACGCCAGGCACCCCTGTGATGAATCAACAGGGGGCGGCGGATCCAGCTGCCTGGTGCAAGTCCTGCCACCGTGCCTGATTGTGGGTCATAGTTAAGTCTAGTGGATGTTCGATGGAATCTTGTGGGAGGCCTCTCGGGGGCCTCTTGGAGGCAGTTTTGGGGCCTCTGGGGGCCGTTTTGGGGCCTCTTCGGTGGCCTCTTGGGAGCATCTGGGGCCTCTTGGGGGCCTCTTGGGCCTCTTGGGGGCCTCTTGGGCGCCTCTTGGGGCCTCCTGGGGGCCCCTTGGGGCGGAAGGCTAGGATTTTCGGTTCGTATTTACTCTCTTGGGCCACTTTGGGACCGTCTTGGTGCCCTCTTGGGCCGTCTTGGGCTCCTCTTGGGCCGCCTTGGGGCGCTCTTAGGCCGTCTTGCGGTCCTCTTGGAGGCCTCTTGGGCCGTTCTGGGTGGTTCTGGGGGCCTCTTGGGCCATCTTGGAGCGTCGGAAAGCCGAAAAGACGAGAACGCCCAAGTCCTTCAAAAGCGCAAGGCAAATCAAGGGTTTTTGCCTTTGGGGGCCCTCTTGGGATAACTCTTGGAGGCCTCTTGGGGCGCCTTGAAAGCCTCTTGCGCCATCTTGAGGCCATCTTGGGCGTCTTCGAGCGATCGTTCGGCGACTCGGGTCTTGGACCGTCTTGGGGGCCTCCTGGGCCGTCATGGAAGCTTTGGCGAGCCCCAGGGAGGCGCCATGGCCACCCAGGGATCCCCAGGCGTACGGCCGGTGCGCGTAACGAGTTGCCGCCCAGAGGGGGGGATGATGCTGCTGCTGCTGCTGCTGCTGATGATGATGATGATGAAGATGATGATGATGATGATGATGATGATGATGATGATGATGATGATGATGATGATGATGATGATGATGATGATGATGATGATGATGATGATGATGATGTTGGTGAATCTGGTGGTGATAATGATAGTTCGAATAATGGAGATGATGATGACGATTCCGATGATAATGAGGATGATGACGAGGATGATGACTTTGATGAGGATGATGTTGTTGATGATGCTGATGATGGTGATTCAGATGATGATGCTGATGAGTTTGATGATGATTATGCTGATTATGCTGGTGCTGATGATGATGCTGGTAATGATGTTCATGATTGTGATGACGATGGTGATGCTGATGATGCGGATTATGTTTATTAGCAACGCATCCTTATTATCATGGTTATCATTAGTAAAATCATTATTATCCGTATTTGCTATAATCCATTTTGTATTTTCTATTATACTTCGTGTCTTTGTGATGATCTTTATTGCTAGTATTATTGTCATTAATATGTTAGTTGTTGTTATTATTATTCTTATTGTTGCTATTATTTTAGTGGCCGCTGGCCAGTGCCGTCGATCCGGGACGCTTCCATTGCTGCTGGAAGCGCGCGATGACCGGTGACGACGGCGAGCGAGCGGTGAGGATGATGATGTGGGTTGGGAATAGAGGCGACGGAGTAGGGTGATGATGATGATGCTGATGATGATGATGATGATGATGATGATGATGATGATGATGATGATGATGATGGAAGAGGAGGTGGAGCAGGAGGAGGAGGATCATTATGAGGTGGAAGGGGGGTGGGTGGGGGGAGGGGCAGGAGTAGCAGGATGTAGAGGATGAGGAGGAGCAGGAGGAAGCGGAAAGTGGAAGAGGGGGATGGGGGAGAAGGAGGAGCATGACGAGGATGAGGAGATTTTTGGCGGTTGTTGGAGATGTTCGGCGGTTGTTGAAGGCCTCTTTGGGGCCAGGTGTTGGCCCTCTTTGGGTTGACACTTCGCCCATTTGGTGCACTCTTTGAAAAGCTTCTGTGCTGGAGCTGCGTGCGTCGCAGTTCTTTGCGAAGCCGTGTACACCGCCGGTCTCTGCTGGGAACCATGGTGTTTTGGGGGGCCCTGGGGCCTTGGCGCGGTCCTCTGCGGGCCCCTGTGAGATCGGGGATGTGCGGGGCACCGAAGACGGGAGAAGATGTGAAAGCGTGGAAGAACGTTTCGTCTTGCAACGCTTGCGTTCAGACGTAAGCGTCGTGAAAGCATTGGGCCCAAATTTTGGGCCTCTCGGGGGGGGGTCCTGGAGGCAGCTTGGAGGCCTGTGGAAGGGCCTCCTCGGGGCCAGTTGGAAGCGTCCTGGGGCCTCTTCAGGCCTCTTGGCGGCCTCTGGGGGCCTTCTGGGGACTCCTTGGGCCGTCTTCGGCCCTTCTTCCGCCGTCTTGGCGCCCTCTCAGGCGCCTCTTGGGCCCGTCCTGGGGCCCTGTTGGGCCTTTCCGGGGGCCTGGGCCTGGGCCGTTGTGGGGCTCTCTCAGGGCGTCTGCGACGCTCTGAAGGCCCAAGAGGCGAATCTGCCAAAATTGTAAGTTTTTCTTTGGGAATCAAGCACTTTTTGCTTCTTTGGGCCTTTTTGGGGAGGCCTTTTCCGGGCTTCTGAAGGCATCTTGGAGGCTTCTGGAGCCGTCTCGGGGACATCTTGGGCGTCTTGTAGCGATCGTTCGGCGACTCGGGGCCCTCTTGGCCATGTTGGAGCCCTCCTGGGCGAGGCGGCCGTCCAGGAGTGAGCTGGAGCTCCGATTTTGCCCGGGGAAGGAAATCGACCCCCCCCCCCCCCCACACTCCAACCCCGGCAGATCCACCCCGGCACCCACCCCCAGTAGAGCTGAAGCTCAGGAATTGAGGCTCAGGCTGTTCTGAGGGCTTTTGAAACTCACGCGCCGGATCGGCTGGTTTCCCAAACAATGCGTCGTCGTCGCTGTCGCCGCCGCTCGGGGCGAGTGGCGGCTTTTGCGGGCGGTGCCGCCCGTCGCCGCCGTCGCCGCCGTCGCCGTCGCTGCCGCTCGGGGCGGGTGGCGGCTTTTGCGGGCGGTGCCGCCCGTCGCCGCCTCCGCTGTCGCATAGATTTTTCCTTCTAAAAGAAGAATAAACTCTACCCCCCTCCCTCCGAGTTAGGGGGCCACTTTTTCGTATTACAATTTACAAATGATTCTGCCCCATCGTTTATCCTAGCTTTGAATTCATATAATCCCAGCCGGACCGGTATCGCCCCCCCCGCCATCCTCTGAACAATATATATATATATATATATATATATATATATATATATGCGCGCGCTTTCGTTTATAAAAATCACACGTTTTCGAGAATCCCTTGCAACAAATGGGACGAAGTGCGCACGCGCGCGTCATCGCGCTAGCATGCCGAAATCCTTCAACAACCGTAGGTTTCGGAAGGGTTTCAAATCGAGCTTCCCAAAAACATTCAACAACATCCAAAAACATTCCAAAACCCTATGTTTCGGAAGGGTTTCAAATCGAGCTTCGCCCGCTCCCTCTCCTGTCCCGTCCCGTACTCCAGCCTGCTCCTCTTCTCCCATCCAATCTCCCCTCAGAGGGGCGTGTTCGGATGCAACTCCTGGGAGGTCAAATTCTGATCTTGCCCTGGTCCGAAATCTGGTTTAATCTGGATTAATCCTGCTTAATCCGGCTTAATCCCGCTTAATTCGGCTTAGTCCCGCTTAGTCCGAGGCCCTCTCCGGCGTAACAGCCCCCAATGGGGCTTACTCCTCCTTAATCCTTGCGACGAAGATCTCCCAGCAGTTGCCTCCTAGCGTGTGTCTGCGTTTTTGAGGACGAGGAGGAAGGGATGATTAGGGCAGTCGGTGGACTGCCCAGAGAAGGTGGGTGCCCCTGGCCGACGCCACCTTTGACAAATAGGGGGGCACCTCTCCATCCCTTTCCTCCTCCTCCACCTCCTCCTGCTCCTCCTCCTCCTCGTCCCCCTTCTCTCCCTCCTCCTCCTCCTCCTCCTCCTCCTCCTCCTCCTCCTCCTCCTCTTCCTCCCCCCCCTCCTTCTCTGGCGAAGAGAGCACGAGGGTGGTGGTGAGGATTCTGGCGAGGGCAGACTGGAGGGGGACAGTCAACGGCGAAGCCCTCCGCCCCCTCTCTCTGCCCGAGCCTTCCCGCTGTGGCCCCCAGGCTCGGCAGGGGCCGACCGCGCGGAGTTTGGCGCGTCGAGCTGCCCGCGCGGCGTCGCGCGCCCTCTCTCTCCGCGCGGCGCGCTGCGTTGGCTGCCTGCGTGAGCCACCGCGTGAGCCACCGCGCGAGGTTGCCGCGTGCCTTCTCGCGTGTTTTGCCGTCTCCGTTGTCGCCCCGCGCTCCGTCCAGAGCACGGTCGCCCAGGCCTCTCCCGTGCCAGCCGGGTGTCCTGTCCTGGCCCGCTTTCGGGCCGCGACCAGCCGCGGTGACGAGATCTTCCAGGAGCGCGCAGCAGCCCGCAGGAGCGACGGCGTCGACATTGTCGCCGTTCCTTTCTTTCTGTCTCTCAGACGCCACCTCCCGCGCCACTGAGGAAGACAATCGCCGCCTCCGGCAACGATCCCGGTTGGCCCTCTGGAGGCTCCCGAGGGCCGGAGGAAGTTCCAAAAGCGTCCAAACCCTCGTTTTCCTCGATCCTCGAACCTCGATCTCTCGATCCTTCGATCCTCGATCCTCGAAGCTCTTTGTCCATCGTACTTCGAACCTCGGTCCTCCCCCCCTCGACCCGCGCCACCGAGGAAGACTTTTGGCCGCACCGCCGAGCGCGGCATCAAGCTCACGATGACCGACCGGTTCAAACAGAAGGCGCGCCACGGCCGCCCTGGTCCTGTTGAGGGGTTTGGCCAGGAGGGTTGGCGAGGGAGGGTCGGTAGACGAGATCCATACGTACCCTCCGCCGCTAGCCAGGTCCATCCTGGGTGCAGGAGCGGTGTGTATGCCTCCCTGAGCCAGGGAGACGTCTACACTGCTCCTGGTCCCAGGATGGGCCTGGCCAGGGGCAGAGGCTACGTATAGATCTCGTCGCGGGCTGGCAAGGTTGTTCGCTGTTCGGTCGGTTCGTCTGCATTGAAGTCGGCTGCGATCGGTCGGTTCGGTTCGGTCGGTTGCCGCGCCGCTGCGTCCCTTTCTGTCCTTCGGTTTCGGTTTCGCTGTCGTTTTTTTGCGGTTTTCGGTTTTGCTGTCGCCATGGGCTCCTATCGGGAGAGGTGGCTGGCCTCCTCCACCTCCTCCTGCGTAGCCGTTTCGGCTCAAGATGCAAGGTTCCTCAGGGGAACACGCGGATACCGCGAGTCCGCGGCAGGGAGAGCAGCTTGTTTGCTCGGCTCTCTCTTTTCCAGGACTTCTCACGCATGACGCCTCTTCCTCGCGGCGGCGGTGGCGGCAGCGTGGCGTCTGGCGGCGGCTCTACACGGTGCCGCTGCTCCTGCGGCTACAAAAGCCTTCGGCGGCGCACGCAGTGTCGGCAGGCGGGCTGCTCTGGCTATCGCCCGACTGGTCACGGTGTGCCTGCCATGGTCATGGTCGTGCTTCTGGTGTAGGGTAATTAACACTGATTTAAATATAACTCGGAGGTCCGCGCGGACCTCTGAGTTTTTGTATGTTTATGCCATTGTTTGTTTCACTATGGTGGCGCCTGGGCCAAGCGCCCCCTGGAGGGACTACGGTCGCGGAGGCGGCGGCGGCGGTGGTCAACTGCCGCGGCCTGATCAGCCTCCCAAGCTGTCAGAGCAAGCTCGGCGAAGCTGCGTGACCTTCTCCGACGACGACTTCGTGGGGCTGCAGCAACCGCTGTGTGACAGTTACATGCAAGGCCGGCGCCGGGGCAGGTTCTTGGTTCGGCAGCAGCTCGGCGAGCTCTCGGAGATCAAGCAGGTCAAGTCAGCGCAGGTGGGTGCTGACGAAGCAGGGCGGCGTCTGGAAAAGGACAAGCTGGACTACGGCAAGAAACAGAAGGCAACCACGCATCCGCCCCACGCCGTCCACGACCATATGCAGAATATGCAGCTGGAGCTCGAGCTCTGGCAGGCGGTGGAGAAGGCGGAGCTTGTTGTCGTTGATTGCGAGGCACTGCCTGGACGTCCTACTTCATCATCTTCTTTGGCTGCGACAACGATGCTGGGCAAGTGCGTGGGCATGGTGAGCGGCCTCAGCAACTGCTTGCATGGGGTCGACCGTGTCGAGGCTGCTGGGCCGCTTATGGCGCTGTTGCGACAGCTCAACAGTGACGCGGCGCTGTGCAAGGTCAGCGCCGAGTCCAGCTCCGAGGCGGCTGCTGGCGCTGCTGCGGCGGCACCTGCGGAGGAGGGCGGCGCTGCCGAGGTCAGGGTCGCCGCCGACGACGACGACAGCGACTACGTTGGCTTCGACATCGCGAGTAACTCCTACTGCGAGGCGGCCAACGAGTTCTGCAAGGGCGACGCTGGAAAGCGGAAGTGGGTGGATGAACTCCAGGCGAACATCTCGAATAACAAGAGCGGCGCGCCCCGATTGTAGTCGTGCTTGGGGCCGCAAATCGTGGAGGACGTGCGCCCTCAACATGAAACCCGTCAGCGACCTCGACAGGTGCTTGGTCGAATAGGTGTGCGACGTCGACTTCTTCTGCCTTCAGGTGGCCAGGTACGACGCAGCGCGTACGGTGGATGTTGAAATTCAAGCTTCGTTGTCGTTGGCGTAGTGCAGCTGGTGCTGCGGCCGTGCCGTCTCAGGCCCGTGGGCCTCTGGCAGGCGGTCCACTTGCTTGCTGGAGGTTGGAGCGTGCGAGCCAGTGCCTGGAGCCGGTCTTCGGGGTCAATGCTTTCTTTCATTTTGTTGCGCAGCGCGGCTTGGCGGGGAGGCTGCAAGAGCGCGGCCGTCCGCGCGCGGTGGGCGGCGGCTGCGACGCGACGGAGGATGAGCTCGCCACGAGTGGGGTTCTGAAGTGCTTCTGGGGGGGGGGTGTCGTCAGCACCTTGGATGCGACGTGCGTGCAGTCCACGAGAGCGATCGACATAGTCACCGTGTGCAAGGGGTTCGAGGTTCAAGTCGCCCATGTGGCCAGTGGGTCTCCTGCGCGCCCGCTCGCGACCGTCGTGCTGGAGCTGGTCGCCGCGCGGGGGCCGCCGTGGATGCGCGCGGCGGAATCGCCGAAGCCTTTCCCGCAGCATCGCCCAGCTGGATGCGCGCGAAGGGAATGCGGCGTGTGCTGGTGGAAAGTTTGCGAGCCGCTCCTGCAGATGCTTGGTGGTCACCCGTCGATGGCGGTCGTGCGATGACATGTCTCGTGGGGCTTTGCCTTCGTCTGGCCGCGATGCTGGGCTCGTGGCTGAACCGAGAACGCGCCGCTTGAAGGGGCGTGGGCGGGCGAGGTCCAGATCGGAGGCGACGATGGAGGTCGGCGCCAAGATGTCATCGGGCAGATGCTCGCCAGTGCTTGGCGACAGTTTCTTGACCATGCGGAGAACGAGGTGGCGTCAACCGGGTGGGGGAGGACGAGCTGGGGCGCGGGCTGTGGGGGCAGCAGCCCCTGTCGCGATGGGTGTGGGGGCTTCCCTCTCTGGGCGCGCGCTGGTCGCGGGTGTCTGTTGGGCGGCGTGGCTCTACTGCGTGGGCAGCTCGCTGAAGGTGGCCGCGCGCGTCGACCAGCCCGTCTTTCGGCTTCGGGCTCTACAGGGCGCGTGCGCGCGTGGGCTGCTGAGAGGGGCGCCTCGGCCCGCCGTGGGTGCGTCTGGCGCGGATGAGGTCTCGCCCCGTCCTGTGGGGGCGCCTGTGGTGGCAGTCGCTTAGGAAGTTTCGTTTCGGCTCGCTGGGCGTCGGCATGTTGGGGCTGCCTGGCGACGGTGCGCGCGAGGCTGCTTTGGGGGTTGCTGGGCGCGAGGTGGCCGAGCGGGCGCTTCGAGAGGCGGGCTGACAGCGAGTCCAGATGTGGTGGCGGTGGCTTCCATGGTGTCTCGCGGCTGCCTGGCGGTTTCGACGGCAGCCCCGCGGGCGGCGACGACGACGTTGACGTCGAAGAGCAGCAGCGGTTCGCCCCCGTTGACATGGTCGCGGAGGCGAGGGCGCTCGAGGCCGCGTGGTCCAGCTGGTAAAGGACAGCTTGCGGACGTGCAGCTGCGCGTGGGCCAGCTGGTTTGGGCGGGCAGCCGCCGCGGCCGACGGTGGCTGAGCTCGGGGGGATCTTGGCTCGTTCAAGGATGGCGCGGGCATGTCGTTCTGCGCGGTGCGGCCCAGGCAGCGCGACGACCTGTGCGACGTGGCCAGGGGGGTGGTCATCGACGTCGTCGCCACCGCCGCGCGCTTCGCGCAGTGGCGGGTGGTCCCGAACGGGATCTGCCTCATCCACAAGAGGCTCGGGGGGGCCAGGCTGGTCGCCATCGCGATGTTGCCGGCGCGGGCGCGGGCGAGGCCGCGGCGCTATTTGGCCCACGGGGGGGGGGCGCGGCGCCGGGCCCGAGTGGCGGGCGTTCGCTCAGCGCAGCTGCGAGCGCGCCGCGTGGCGCCGGGCGGCGGTCGGCGAGTGGGCCGCGCAGCGCGGCGCGGATGGCGACGATGGGTCCTGGGCCTTGGTGGCGGTGGCGGTGTTTGCCTCGCTCGTTCAAGGGATTCGAGCAGGTGCGCCGCCGCTGGCTGCTCGACGCGGCCCAGGGCACGGGCTTCCCGCTATGCCAGCTCGAGCTGCAGGTCAAGCTGTGCTGGGCGCCGCGAGTTCTGCGCGCGGGCAGTGCTGCGTCGGGCTCAGTCGGCGCCGCTCAGTCGGCGCTGCCTGGCGACGTCTTCGCGACGGCCATTCATAAGCTGATCTTCGTTCGCTCTTTTAACCGCCTGGCGCTGCAGCGTTTGACGATCCCTGTCGCGGGGGCCGTCGACGACCCGATGTTCCGCCGTGTCGGCGGGCTGGCGCGCGTCGCGAGGGAAGTCGCGGGCGCGGCCTGCGCGCTCGAGAAGCTGCTGCTTGAAGTGGGCCTCAACGCGGCGGCCTGCCTCCTGCGAGGCGCGAGCTGGAGCGTCGTCTGTGGCGACCCTGGCAAGCGCGTCGCGAGGCAGACTCGACGGGGTCAGCTCTTGCAAGCAGGGCTACTGCTCCGGCGCAAGGAGACCAGGGCTGGCCTAGAAGCGAGCATCGCGAGCGTTCGCGCGCGGCTTCGCGGTCGCAGGCTGCTCGCCGCCGGGCTGGACGAGCTCGTGTCGGTGGTCTTCGCGGCGGTTGCGCCGAGCGTGGCTGTGCTGCCCGGGGCGCTCGCCCACGCGCCCTTCCTCGACCCGATGCGCCGCGCCGCGGCCCTGCCCGCCGTGGCCGTGCCGAGGGCGGCCTGAGAGCAGTGGGTCTCGCGGCGCATCATCGAGCGCGGCCCGGCGCGGTGCGCGGCCGCGCGTTTGAGTCAGGTGAGCTGGCCCTGCTCAGTGGTGGGCGTCTCCTTTCAGCGCGTCGGCGGGGATATCGCAGACGGCGAGACGTGGGGGGCGCGCGAGGGCGACGACGAAATTGCTCGAGGCGCCCCTTTGGATGCTGAAGAGGCTGCCGCGGCGTGCAGTCGAGGTGTAGCAGTGGGATCAGGTCGGGGGGGGACCCGAGCAATGGTGCCTGGTTGGTGGCAGTGTCCTTGAGCCGCTGGCCCGCGTGACTAACGCGGGCCGGGTCAGTCGCGGCGTTGTTCGGTCGGTGGGGCAGGCGCGAGATGGGGGCGTGCGATCAAAGAAATGGGCTATTTGGCTGCTGCGCGGCTGTGGGTGTGTCGAATGACCCCTGGGGCTGCAGCTGCCGAATGCGGCGCGCAAGCTGGTCGACAGAGCTGAGGGCCTGCCCGAGGCAAAGACGTTGCTGGAGTGTGCGCTGTGGCTTGCGCCAGAGGGCTCGGCGCTGCATGTCATGTCTGCTGATGCGCGTTGGCTTGGGCGGCGCGAGGGCTTCCCGCTGGCGGGCGAGCTGATCCTGGGCGGGTCGGCGCCGGGGGTCGACTTCGGCAAGTGCGCGAGCTTTGGCCAGGCGGGCATCTCGCTGGAGGTCTGCAGAGCCCTTCGCCGCGGGCATCTCCGGCATGACGTGAGGCGCGCAGGTGGGCGCCGGCGGCGGCCTGTTGTCTGCGATGCTGGCGGCGCATCGGTCAGCTTCGCCGCCCGTCGCAGCGGTGGCCGACAGCAACTTCATGCTTCGTGCTTCCTGGCCTCGCCGAGCGCGGCAGGTCCGACGCCGCCGCCAGTTTCTAGGGGTGTGCGCGCCTCCGGAGGGAGGCGTGGCGGCTGCTGGGCGAGTTCGGCGGCGTTAGCGACGCTGGCTTCGCGGCTGGGAAGGCCCCCGCCCGCCTCCCGAGCGATCGGGTGGTTCAAAGCCTCGCGTGCTGCAACTGGCGCGGCAGCGGGCTTGCGGGCGAGGTCGCCGAGGGCGTTGCTGCTCGCGGCGGGCTGGCGGCGCGGGGCAGATGCAAGCGCGCCGCGCCGCAGCAGGCCGTCGAGGGCGTGGCGACGTGGGTCTCGGCCGCGGGCTCGACGGTCGGCGGCGCGGGCGCCGCGCGCAGGGCGGCCGAGCCCGACGGGCCAGCTCCCGGGGCTTTGGCGGCGGCGGTGCAGGCTCCAAGGCTGCGCCTGGCAGGCGGTGGTTCTCGGTCTGCAGGTGGTCGGAGAGGCGCAGTGCCTGGCGCCGTCGACGCAGCGGTGATCGACAACGACGTGGAGCTGCGGAAGCTGGGCAGGCTGGCCCACCGCGTCGTGGAGCTCGTGCCGACGACGGGCGTGGAGCTCGTGAAGGACTCGCCGAGGCTCGCGCGCGTGGCCCTGCTGGTGCTGCGAGAGCGAGCTCCTTCGCGAGCCCGCGTGGCGAGCCGGAAACGGCTGCAGCAGAGCCGCCCTATCCTGCCTTGCCCGGCGGATGGCGCCCGGTGCCGCCGAGGTCGCCGTCTCCTTCGTGCAGCTCGAGTGGCGCTGCAGGTGCTGGGCCCGAGGCTGCGGCGCTTGGCCGCTGGCGCGGCGTGCGCGCGCGCGCCCTCTTCTTCTTCTTCCTCCTCCTCCTCCTCCTCTTACTCTTCTTCCTCCGCCTCCCCCTGCTCCTCCTCCTCCTCCTCGCACTCCCCCTCCTCTTCCTCCTCCTCCTCTTCCTCCTCCTCTTCCTCCTCCTCCTTCTCCCCCCTTTCCCTTCCCTCTCCGCTTCAGTTTCTTTTTCCTTATGGTTAAGTGCTCTCTGTCGCGCCTCGAGGCCAGTCCGATTTCTTGTAAACTTTGAGCCTGGGACTTGCAAGCTGGTAGCATCTTCGCACATGGAGCGCGGGTGATTTTAAACATGTGGCTCACTGTTGAGCACCGCGCACTTTCGTTATAGACATTTGCAAAAGTTTCACGGTTTTGAGGGCGGTCCGTTTTCAAAAGGTGATTGTCGCTGTAGCGCCGCGCATTGTACATTTTACAAGTTTGCAAGAGTTTCGCGGACTGTGGGCTTTGTTTTTCTGGGTTGAAAACCGGGTTCTCGCCTTAACGCCGCATGCGTCCGTTTTCGAAACGTTGCAAGTTTTTCGCGGATTGAGGGCTTTTAAGCGCTTTTAATGGCTTCGCTGGTCCCCATGGTTAATGCATTAACACTTCTGTTTTGGAGCAGCTCAATATTGCCAGGGCGCAACCGTTTCTTTGATTCGCGGTGTTGAAGTCCCACGGCGGTGTTCCGGTACACGATTCAAGATTGTCAAAACACAACAGTCATAATGACTTGTGGTGTTCAAGTCATGAAGCTAGTGTTTTGGCACGTTTCAGGACGGGGCACTTCCTTCAGTGGACATGAGTCCTTGTAGGGAGGGGGAAGATGAGGATGACGATGCTGATGATGATGCTGATGGTGTTGATTCTCATGATTTTGCTGATTATCTTTCTGATGCTGATGCTGATAGTGACGGTGCTGATAAAGCTGCTGATGATGATGCTGATGATGATGATGCTGGTGCTGGTGCTGATGAGGGTGATGGTGACAGTGATGGTGATGGTGATGATGAGGGGGGAGGAGGAGGACGAGAACGAGGAGGACGAGGAGAAGGAGGAGGCGAACGAGTGGCGAAGGGAAGATGAGGAGAAGGGGAAGGAGGAGGGAGGAGGAGGAGGAGGAGGAGGAGAGGAGAGGAGGAGGAGGAGGAGGAGGAGGAGGAGGTGGGGTGGGTGAGGGAGGGAGGGAGGGAGGGAGGGAGGGGGGAGGGAGGGAGGAAGGGAGGAGGAGGAGGAGGAGGAGGAGGAGGAGGAGGAGGAGGAGGAGGAGGAGGAGGAGGAGGGGGAGGAGGAGGAGGAGGGCGAGGAGCGCGAGGAGGAGGGCGAGGAGGAGGAGGAGGAGGAGGAGCATCAGGGGCGAAGGGTTTGGAAGGGGAGGAGGATGAGGATGAGGATGAGGATGAGGATGAGGATGATGATGAGATGATGATGATGATGATGATGATGATGATGATGATGATGATGATGATGATGATGATGATGATGATGATGATGATGATGATGATGATGATGATGATGATGATAAGGAGGAGGAGAAAGCTGTTCAGAAGAAAAATAACGGAGGAGGATGTGGAGGAGGAAGGGGAGGAGGAACTGGAGAAGGTAAGGACGTCGAATAGTCACACTAGTAGCAATAGGAATCTCGACAGTAGCATTGCCGACAAACGCACAGCTAATCATAGTAGAATTACCTATACGCATATTTGTAAACATAAACTTAAACTAAGATGACTAATCCGACGAGTAAGACGAACACTGTTAACAATACGAATGCGAATCGTACGAATCATCGTACGGATTACGCGCCTAAACATGCGAATGCGGCGAATAAAGAAGCACACCAGACGAGTAACACTGATGCTACTACCAGTACGCAGGCTACGAATGAAGTGCACGGAACAGTGTTATTACTAAGATACTGTTATGGAGAATAATAACAGGAATACGAGTAATACTAACACTATGGAGACAAGGAGGAGGAGCAAGAGGAGGAGGAGGAGGAGGAGGAGGAGCTGGAGGAGGAGGAGGAGGAGGAGGAGGAGGAGGAGGAGGAGGAGGAAGGAGAGGATGAGGACGTACCAGTCTCGCACGCAAAGCTAGTCTTCAGGGACTGCACTGCTCTGCCACGGGTAGAGCACGGCCACGACGTGCGCCTTCGCCAGCGCTCCGAGCACGCGCCCGGCGGGGCCCCGCCTGGGCCTCGACCGGGACGGCGGGGACCCGCCAGCTCCGCCCGCGGCGGTGCCGACCTCCCCGCGTGCGGGAGGGCGCGGCCTCCTCCTGCTGCGCGGTCGCAGCGCTATGGCGCCAACACCGCAGGGCGGACCTCGTGCGGAAAACAGTGGGATGGACCCGGATGGTCCTGGAGAGTCTCGTTCCGGGTCTCGCAGGGAAGCTCCTGCGGATTTTTGTCGCGACCAGGAGTGAAGGCTGCAAGGCATCCCCGTGAGATCCTCTTCCCTTTTCTGCTCGCCGTTCCGGGATTCTGCATTGTGGCAGAAGGCCACGCAGAAGTCCGATGCGGCACGTCTGCAAGGTCGGTGCACTGAGCAACGGCGCAGCCGGATGCCGGGGGGCTCCGGGATAGCGAACCGCCCCGCGGGTCCCGGTCGTGGGGCTGTGGTTTTTGGTCGCGCATGGTGCGGTAGTATCGCCGAGGCCGAGGAGGAGGAGGAGGATGAGGAGGAGGAAGGTGGGTCTCGCAGGTCGCATGCTTTTTTTCAAGTGCTCTGGGGGTTGCATAACAGGAGGGTGCTGCCCACCACAGCCGCCGTATTCCGTACTGGTGGTCCCGTGAGCTCGTCACGGTGCCGATCCAGCTTGAGCGTGTGCGTGGTGGTCAATCGTGTCACTGTCGTGGCTGCTCGTTCGTGTGCGGTTGTGCGTTCCCCGAACTCTTTTTTCCTCTCTCCCGCATCCGAGCGCGTCACCCTTCGACCTCCCAGGCGGTGACCAATTGAGCGGCCCCTCCATCTCTCTCTCTCTCCCCCCCTTGCTTCTCCCTCCTCCTCTCCTCCGTTTCCCTGCTCCTTCCTCTCGAGGACGTGTAGGAAGATGAGGAGGAGGAGGAGGAGGAGGAGGAGGAGGAGGAGGAGGAGGAAGAATAGCAGGAGGAGGAGGAGAAGGAGGAGGAGGAGGAGGAGGAGGAGGAGGTGAACGACTGTGTGTGTGTGTGTGCGTTCCAGTTTCGCCAGTGTGCGTGCCTTCGCGGAAGGTCATCGACGAGGGGTTCAACCCGGTCTACGGGGCACGGCCGCTGCGCCGCGCCATCATGCGACTAGTCGAGGACGCGCGCGGCACCCTTGAGAACGTCTGCGCTGGGGCGGGAACGGCCTCCTCTGGCACGGCCGGGGGGAGCGGCAGGTTCTTCGGAGGAAGCTGTGGGCAACGTAAGGGGGGGGAGGCTCAGGTCGGACGGGGCTGGGACAAGGACAAATCCGTTCCAGAGCCTTCTGGAACGCGTTGAGAGCGTTCAGGGGCGCTCTGAGAAGGCTGCGGCGCCCGAGTCATCCTCCAGAGCCGCCGGATCTCAGAGATTCACGATTTAGCCTCACCCGATTCAATCCTCGTCCTGGCCTCGTCTTATCAGGGGGGGACGCACCGACTCCCAATGGCTCACAGATCTCCGATGAGGGGCCCGATGGCCACCACGCCCGGGGGCGTGCGGAGTCGCTTTCGGGGGCCAATCGCCGATCCATCGGCGATGTATCGCCGATTCCAGGTCGATGCTCTCCTCCTGCGCCTGTCCCTCCCCCCTGCAGTCAACCCGCGCAAAAAGATGGGCAACCTTCCCTTGCCTCCCCCTGGGCGGACGAGTCGGAGGCGTCCAGGACGAGGGTGAGGACGTTTACGTCGTCGAAGGGGAGGGAGGGAGGCACGTTTCGCTGTTTCCTGGAGGCTTTCTCGCCTCGGGACGCCTTTTTCAGCAGCTGCGCCTCGTCGAGAGCTTTCCAGGGGTGCCCAGATCGTGCCGAACGGCCCCCGAATGTCAGAGTTACGTCAACCCGCATGGGAAAGCTGAGCACCTTTCTACTAAGGGTACCCTTGCATCCTTCCCTGTTGGCCCATCCTTGGCCGCTTTCGCTGGCCGCGCCCCGCTCGCAAAGTGTCGACATGGCCTTCCAAGGCCCTTGCATCCTTGTGATACATGGTATCTGCATGATACGGGTTTATGATACGGGTTGACTGCATTGGAGGGTGAAAGGAGGGGTCTGCAACAGGGGGTCTGCAATTAAGGCTGAATGGCTCATGTATGCTCAATACATCGTATGATTGGCATCCAATGTTGGCGGTCACATGGAGGGCCAGTCGTTCGTGCCCGTGTGGTGCCCGCGCGGGCAAACGCGCCGTCCATCCATTATCGTTCATGCGTGCGGGCGTTCTTGCATATCGCGCGTGAGGCGACGAAGTGGAGTGCAAGTATGTCTTGATTGTGCGATTGAGGATCGCGTATGTTCCCAAACGATGTCTTGTCAACCCCTAGTCAAATTTCGAATGGGTCCCGCGATTCTCCCAACATGTGAATCCACATGTTCCCTTTTCCCAGCATCACATTCTGGCCTCTTCATACAGATTCCAATGCAACATTCTAAAACGTGAGTTCACATTTTCGTCTTTTCCAACATATGAATTCACATTTGCCTTTTTCCAAATATGTGAATTCGCATGTTGCTTTTCCCCACAGTGTGAATCCACATTTTGCCCTGGCCCTCAAGATCCACCAAACTAAAGCGCAGTGTTCCGCATGTCAGACTGGCTGGGCAGATTTTGACATCCACCCCGCCGCTTTGACTCCGACCTTCTCTTCTTGCGCCCTTAGCGCACGTTGCCTTCGTCGCCTTTCCCCAGCCTCCCGAGTCCTTGCTCCGTTTGCCTTCAAGTCTCGCGCATGGGTTCAGGCGGGGAGCTTCACTTGGTTTCCTCGCCGAACACAGCAATCGAGGATGTATCGCCCGTGCGTGCCCCATAAAGACACCATGGCCGGGACCCTGCGCCCGACCCCCACTTTCACCCTCCAACTGCAGATCGCCCGCATCTCGCAGGCCCCGGCATGCCTTATTGCGGCGCGATCCGCGGAACACCTTGGGTGCTTTGTGCCCTGCGCTGTCTGAACGAAGCTGCGTAGGCTGTCGCCTCGGGTGGCCCCGCTTCGGGCCCTGCGCACACCCGGCTCCGTCAGTGCGCGGATCGAATCGCCGCTCCTCGTCCGAGGTTGAACGATCCACGCGGTGGCAGACAAGCCCACGCAGAAGTCGCCACGACACGAACCCGTCGCAGCTCTCTCCTTCGGTAGCAAATCATGGGAGCCTGGTGTACCAATCGATGCAATCGACGCTAATCGGCGCTAGACTGGCGCCGATTCGCGTCGATTGGCGTCTGGGAGTCGATGAGGTAGCGCCGATTTGGCGTCGGTCTGCGTCGTTCAGCGTCGTTCAGCGTCGATTTAGCGTCGATTCGCCAGAGCCGACAAGATGGTACGGGAGGCTCCCATGAGATGCCACCGAGCTCTCCGTGCCCGCCGCCTCGGGGCCGTGCGCCGAGGAAACCGCGGGGGGGGGGGGGGGCGTGCAGAGGGGGCACCCGCCTGCCCCCTGCCGTCGGGCAGGCAGGGCCAGTCGCACGGGGGAGACCAGGGTCGCCCACGATCCGCTTCGGTGCGATTCGCTCCGTTAGGGGCGTACATGCGAACCCTACACCTACCCCCCACGATTTCTGGGGGGGAGGGTGGGGTTCACTTCGTTCGTGAGCTCCCGAGCGAAATGAGCCCCACACTCCCCCTCAGAAATCGTGGGGGGTAGGCGTAGGGTTCGCATGTGGTCCCCTATCCGTAGGCTGGGGACGCGATTTCGATGCGATTCGCACACGCATACCGTGGACGCTGGCACGCACACGCCGTGCCGTGCTGGAAGGTTTTCCCCCATGTTGACGGGTCGGCTAGGGTGCATCCTGCGTCCGCTGGTCGCCCTGTTAGGGACGTGGAGCCTGGTACAATGTTACGGGGGAGGTGCTTCGCAACGGGGGTGGGGGGTACGGGGGTTTGGTACCTCAATGAACATACGATTCAGCTGAACGGGATGATGGCGGTTCGAAAACGGCAACCCGCGTGGGACATCCTCACACAATTGGTTGTTTTGACGGTTCGAAAGCGGTTCGAAACAATAGGATTTGGTTCGAAGCGAAAGCAGCACGAACGTTTCGTGTGGGATTTCGTCCACAATCAGGCGTCTGACCCGGTTCGAAACAAAAGGATGGCGGTTCGAACATGGCAAACTGCATGGGACCCCTCAAAATTGATCTATTGATGGTTCCAAAGCGGTTCGAAACAATACAAATCAGTTCCAGTCAGTTGGAAAACGAGCATTTCGCTTGAGGGTTCCTTCGAAATGAGATTGGAACCTGGTTCCACAGTGGCATGGCGGTCCGAAAACGCCAAACCACGTGGGACGTCCTCCGCCCAGATGGCTTTCTTGACGGTCCTAAAGCGGCTCCGCACAACAGACGCCAGCTCCGAACAATTGGAAAACGAGCGTTTCGCTTGTTACGTCCTTGAAAATACTCTTGGGACCTGGCCCCTGACACGTCCCAAACGAAAGAATCGCGCGGGACATCCCCTGCAAAATGGCGTGTGCCCCGTTCCAAACAGCGTCGGCCGCGACGACGACGACCACGACGACGACCACGACGATATGTGTTCTCGCCTCGCCGCCGGCCGCGCTTGGCCGCGTCTCGGTCTGTCCGACCGCTCTCCCTTCAGCATGGAGGCCCCCGGGGCGGCGCTTCCCCCCTCGGGAGGGGGACGTGCCGGGGGGAGACAACGCCACTTTTCCATGGGGGGCATACCGCTGTCACCCCCAAACACGGACATGGTCATGGCTACCTTTCGCTTGTGTAGCCCCCCGCTCGGAGGAGGCACGTCGCGCCGCACGGTGTCCGAGTCGGCCAGCGTATCGTCCAGCTCGTCGTCGTCCTCTTCCTCCTCCTACGTGACGCCGGGGCCGCGCCGCCTCGAACGCTCGCACGAGAGCCAGGCTCGAACGCTCGCACCTTCAGCGGCCGCTCCATCGCCATTCTCCGCCGCAGCGGGTGCCACGTCGGACGCCACGTCGATGCCGCGGCCAGCTGTGCCGCCCGCCGCAGCAGCAGCAGGGGCTTCGGCAACGCGTCGCTCGGCACGGCGTCGGCGTTTGCGCCGCCGACGCGCAATCCGCGCCGCGACAGCAGCGGGCTGCGCATCAGCCGGCTCTGGCAAACTCGGGGCGCCCAACGGGCAGGTCGGCGCATGTCGCGGGCGTTTCAGCGTGCTTTGAAAAAAGTCTTGCCGACACTGCCGCGCGCGCCACAGCAGCAACCGTCCTGCGAGGCGCCTTCGCCTGTACAGCGACGAGAACCGCAGCCGCCACGCCAGCTCCTCCTCCACCTCCTCCTCCTCCTCGTCATCAGTTTTGAGCTTTGTTTTTATTATTACTATGTTTCTCCTCTTCTCCTCCTCTCTATCATCATCATCCTCGTCCTCCCCCTGATCCTCCTCCTCCCACTGCTTCTCCTCCTCCTCCTCCTCCTCCTCCTCACCCTCCTCACCCTCCTTATCCTCCTCTCTCCCTCCTCCTCCTCGTCCTCCTCCTCATCATCATCATCACCATCATCATCCCTACCAGTGCGTGTCTGTCGCGGAGGATCTCAGTGGGGGTGCGTGCGCAGTGGTACACAGACCGCGTCTTGGGGATCGCAGGAGGGGCAGGAGGAGGAGGATGAGGAGGACCAGTGTAAATCCAAGAGTCATCAACGATGTTGGAATGACTCCCCCTCCAAGCTCCCTCCTCATAGGCCCCTACAACGGTTCACATCCATTGGGGGAACTGCTTCGTTAGAAGGCAACCATTTGAAGACCCTGAAGCATGCCAGCACATTGTTCTCGGGATTCCAACGCCACGGATCCACTTCCCTGTTGCGTCTGGACGATCCTGAACCGTTCCAGAACGCCATTCCGGGGACTTCAATACCGCGAATCCACGTAGCTGTTGCACCCGCATAATCTCGAACCCTTCCAAAACACCGATTCTAGTACGTTAATCATGGGAATCCGTGAAGCTCTTGCAACTTTAACAAACGAACGTGCCCAGCGCTCAGGCGAGAGCCACATTTTGAGAAGGAGCCGCCCTCAATCCGTGAAACTCTTGCAACTATTCAAAGCGAATGTGCGCGGCGCTAAGGCGAGAGCCACATTTGAAACCATTCGCCCTCAATGTGTGAAGCTCATGCAAATTTTGAAACGAGTGTGCGCGGCGCGACGGCCCACATTTTGAAAACCACCCGCCCTCCATCTGTGAAATTGCTGCCAACTTTGGAGCTTCAGAGTCAGGAGTGGTGGGGAAATCTCAGGCGAAACGCCCGGCCCGCCCTAAAAACTGGCCTCGGGGTGCGACAGGGAGGAGTTATTCACAGGGAAAATGACTGGAGGAGGAGGAGGAGGAGGAGGAGGAAGAGCAGGAGGAGGAGGAGGAGGAAGAGTAGGAGGAGGATTAGGGGCAGGAGGAAGAGGAGGAGTATGAGGAAGAGGAGGAGGAGGAGGAGGAGAAGGAGGAGGAGAAGGAGGAGGTGAGGAGGCCGAGCAGGAGGCGGAGGATAGTTCCTTGTCAGCCTGCGTCTCCCCCCTCATAACGCACCTCCTGCCAGCCAGCTGCCACTGGGTTGCCGGAGAGGACGAGCTCGCCGAGTCCTTCCTCAAAGAGCCGACCGTGGAGGGTGATTCGTTACATTATGATGAGGAGTAGGAAGAGAAGCCGGATGATGAGTCGGGGAGGAAAAAGGGAATAGAAGTAGGATGAACTAGACAAATATTGCAATGATGCTGGTGGTGATGATGTTGGGGATATGGATGAGGCCGATGATGATGGTGACGATAATGATGGTGATGCTGATGCTGATGATGATTGCGACGACGATGATGATACTGGTACGCTGGTAATGATGATGCTGATGATGCTGATGATGCTGCTGATGATACTGATCATGATGATGGTGGTGATGATGATGATGCGGATGCTGACGATGATGATGACGATGATGATGATGGTGTTGATGATGGTGATGATGCTGCGAAGATGATGATAATGATGATGATGCTGATTATGATTATGATGATGCTGATGCTGATGATGATGGTGCTGATAAAGGTGATGATGACGATGCTGTCGCTGATGATGTTGCTGATGAGGATGGTGATGTTGATGATTATGGTGGTGGTGATGATGATGAGGAGAAGGAGGAGGAGGAGGACGAGGAAGTGCCAGATTGACATCCTGCAGTAACTTTGGAAATCCGCCGCTTTTCGGCTCAGTTCGTTGAGCCTGTGACAGGCGGCGGGTTCCGCATACGCACCTTTTGTTGCGACCGCCCGGCATCAACAAAAAAAGAAACTTCAGTCGAGTTTGCACGGTAGTGGAGCCAGGCTTTTATCAAGGGCAGAAAAAAACGCCCCTACCCTCGTCTACGAGGCGCTGTGCTCTGAAATTCCTGTGGGCTGACATGGCAAACCCTGCGTGATGTGCCGCGTCCTGGCGGCTCTAGGCTTTGGGGGTTCCCAGGAGGTTTACAGACCACGCACTTGTAGTCCAGGGTAGGGTCGTTTTTTCATCCCTCAATTTTCTGGCTGTGCCAGGTCAATCGGCAGGGTCAATAGGTCGAGGGAGGAGGAGGGAGGCGGGAGGACTGCCGCAGCAGATACCGGGCTGGCGGGGGGGGGGCCAGCGCGCGCGCGCACGAGCGCGCGAGGCGAGTGCATCCTGCTGGACAAGGACGGCGACGGCAACGTGGTGGTTCTCAGGAACCAGGAGGCGCCCGAGGCCCGTGGGCTTAAGTCGGGCCTGTCCCCCTACGGGGGGAGTTTCGACGAAAAATCAAACATACCCCGGAAAAATAATCAAAAATAGTCCAAAAATTAGTCTCCGGACTATTTTTGGAGTACTTTTTTGGCTGTTTGGGGTATTTTTTATTTTTCGTCGAAAATCCCCGTGTAGGGGGACTGGCCCGACATAACCGTGGGCGCCCGCGGCGCCGTCGTTCTCCACATCCCAGGTGTTTGGGCTCCTGTTGTTAGCCGGGCGCCTCGGACTCACAGCTCACCTCCTTCTCCCCCATGTTCCTCCTCCTCACTCGGGCGCACTCTTGCTCAGGCCTGTTCGCACTCAGGCTCAGTCGTACTCGGACTCACTCATGCACCCCTTGCACGCTCCCCGGCACGTCCCCTGGCGCGCCCGCCGGCACGTTCCATGGCGCGTTCTTTGGCGGGTCCCGTGTCGCGCCCCCCTGGCGCATCGCGCGGCGATTCCCCTGGCACGTCCCCTGGCACGTCCTCTGGCACGTCCACTGGCACGTTCCGTGGCGCGTCCTCTGGCATGTCATTGTGCGGCGCGGCACAGCGCAGGGAAGCACATCACAGCCCCTGGCACAGTAGCATCACCATTGATATCTTCAGCATTGCCACTGACCATCGCCCAAGTGAGGTGCTTGGATGCGTCCCCAGGCCTCGCAGTTCTAAATCCCTTTCCGGGTTCGTGGTTCGATCTTGTTCATTGTGTTTTTTGTTTGTTTAGCCCTGGGTGATTGTTTTTTGTTGTTTTTTGTTTCTGGAAAGGGTCCCTGCCCAGGGTTCTCTTTTTGTGGTGTTCCACTGCCCCCGCCACTGCCCCCCGTGACATGCCAGGGATGGGCAGGTGGAATTGGTTCTTCGATAAAAAACTAGGGAAGGTTTGGGGGGGGGGTATTTTTGTTTGTTTTTCTTTTCTGAGAATGTCCCGATCGAAACGCTGGTTTTTGAAATTCAGATCGATAGAACACAAGGTAAAGGTGCAATTTTCGTTTGTTGCGGATGCCTTGAGCGACACGTTTCTTTTGCAGAACGTATTGAGGATTTCTCGAGCGAAATGTTTGATTTTTTTTTTTTTTTTTTTTTTTTTTTTTTTTTTTTTTTTTTTTTTTTTTTTTTTTTTTTTTTTTTTTTTTTTTTTTTCCGGCGTTTTCCTATATATATATATATATATTGCCCCTGTGGGCGCTTCAACGCTGAACCGCCAAGGAGCGGGACGCTTGCACGCTCGCGCCCAGCTTATGGGGATGTCTGAGGCGGCTCGCCCTTTTGGTGGCCCAGTTTTCTCTCTCGTGAGAGCCCAATGAGATCACCTCGATGTTGGAGGCGTGGCACTCGGGCCCCCCAAGGAGGAGCAGCCAGGGAGGAGTGCACTCGCCCGCCAAGGAATGGAACGCTTGCCCGTTCGCACCCAGCTTGTGGGGATGCCGGGCTGGGTTTGCCTGTTTTGGCGGCCCAGGCTGCTATGTCTTGAGAGCCTCATGAGCACCGCGTTTTTGCAGGCGTGGTACTCGGGCACCCCAATGAGGAACCACCAGGGAGTGGGGCGCTTGCCCATTCGCGCCCATCTTGTGGGGATGTCGGACCAAGTTTGCCAGCTGGTGGCTCAGACTTCAGGCGTGGCACTCGGGCACTCCAAGGGGGAACCTCCAGGGAGGGGGGACACTCGCCCGTTCGCGCCAAGATCTGGGGGTTGTCTCGAGCGGTTTGCATGTTTGGTGGCGCAGTTTTTTTGTTGTTTCTTTCTTTCTCTCTCTCTCTCTCTTGAGAGCCCGCCGTTTGCCGCGATGCATCTGGCGAAGCACTTCTGGCACCTCGGAGAGGAGCCGCCACGGTTAAGTCGGGCATGCTCCTCCACAGGAGGAACATTCAAAAATAGTCGAAATAGTGTGGGGACGGTGTTTTTGTTTTTTTATATAGCATTTTTGGTTGCTTTTTGATTTTTTTTCCTCCAGAATCCGCCTGCAGGAGGACAGGCCCGACCTGACGCCACGGGTGGTTGCATTCCCGTTCGCTGCTGGACTGTGGAGTCCCATGACCACCGCGATAAGAAGCAGGCGTGGCATCTGGGCACCCCAGAGAGGAGCCGCCGGCCCCCGCTCGCGCCCAGATCTGGGGGGGTTGTCTCCAGCGTTTTGCTCGTCTCGGCGCCTCGGGGCCCCTCTCTCCCGAGAGCCCCATGGTCACCGGGATGTAGCAGGCATGGCCTGGAGGGCGTTACAAGTGCCAGTTCGCGCCGAGATCAATTGACGCCTCTAGTCAAACGCGGGCTTCGGCACCCCTGACCCTTCTCGCTTCAGAGTCCCAAGACAATCCGGATGTAGCAGGCATCGTATTCGGGCACTCCAAGGGGGATCTGCCAGCGAACGTTCAGTCACCACAGGAACGCTCAGTCGCCACACGCTGACATTTGATTTATATGTATATACACATATATATATGGACATACATAAGTGCATGTGTGTATGTATGTATGTATGCATGAATGAAAGCATGTGTGTATGTATGTATGTATGCCTGCCTGCCTGCCTGCCTGCCTGTCTGTCTGTCTGTCTGTCTGTCTGTCTGTCTGTCTGTCTGTCTGTCTGTCTGTCTGTCTGTCTGTCTGTCTGTATGTCTCTCTGTCTGTATGTATGTATGTATGTATGTATGTATGTATGTATGCATGCATGCATGCATGCATGCATGCATGTATGTATGCATGTATGTATGTATGTATGTATGCATGCATGCATGCATGCATGCATGTATGTATGTATGTATGTATGTATGTATGTTTGTATGTATATATGTATGTATGCATGTATTTATGCATGCATGCATGCATGCATGCTTGTGTGTATGAATGAATGTATGAATGTATATATGCATGTATGCATGTATGCATGTATGTATGTATGTATGCATGCATGTATGCATGTATGCATGTATGCATGTATGCATGTATGCATGCATGCATGCATGCATGTATGTATGTATGTATGTATGCATGCATGCATGCATGCATGCATGCATGCATGTATATATAGATATATGTATATATCGAAGACGCCTACGGCGAATCACCGCCGCCCCCTGCCTTTTTGGAACCGCCGATGTGGCCGAAAGTTGGACTAGAGCTTGGCCAAGCTATCGGACCATGAGTTCCCCGAGTCGGTTTGGAAAGCTTTCGGGGAACACATGGGAGAGAATGATTATGAACAGGAAGAGGAAGAGGAAGAAATAGAGTAGGAGGATGAGGGTTGTTAGGAGTCTCTTGGGGCACCCTTGGGGTCTGTTGGGGGCTTCTTGGGGGCCTCTTCGAGGCCTCTTGGAGGCATCTTGGGGGCCTCCTTGGGCCTCTTGGGGGCCTTTGGGGGCTTCCTGGGGGTCTCTTTGGCCGTCTTAGGGCGTTCCTGGTCCGTCTGACGCCGTCTGGAGCCGTCTTGGGGGCCTCTCTGGGCCGTCTTGGGGCCCTCTTGGGGCGCTTCAGGGCCGTCTTGGAGGCCATGTTGGGCGTCTTGGAGGCCTCTTGGGCCGTCTTGGGGCGCTCTTGGGGCCGTCTTGGGGGGCCCTTGGGCCGTCATAGGGCCTTCTTGGAGGCCTCTTGGGCGATCTTGGGGGCCTCTTGGGCCGTCGGAAGGCCGAAAAGAAGAAAACGCAAAAAACCTTCAAAAACCTAAGGAAAACCAATGATTTTGGCCTCTTCGGGCTCTCCTGGAGAACGTCTTGGAGGCCTCTTGGGCCATCTTGGAGGCATCTTGGGGCCATCTTGGCCGTCTTGGAGGGCATCTTGGGCCGTCTTGGAGGCATCTTGGAGCCATCTTACCCGTCTTGGAGGCCATCTTGGCCGTCTGGGAGGCATCTTGGAGGCCATCTTGGGCCATCTTGGCCGTCTTGGAGGCCATCTTGGGCCAAGTTGGGGCAACAAAGGCATTGACAGACGGATTTTGGGAAAATTACGGGTGGCCGGCGGGACGGGCCGAAGCCCACTGGGGAGTTCTTTTAGAAAAAGAACCAAAACCAAAACCTGAAACGTCCAGCACGCCGTGCACCCCTGCAAGCAGGGGGCGGCGGATATAGTAGCCTTCGGCCCATCCCGCCACGGTGCCTGGGTTGTGGATTAGAGGCCTCTTCGTTTGGATATCGTGGGAGGCCTCTCGGGGGCCTTTTGGAGGCAGTTTGAGGTTTCTTGGGGGCCGTTTGGGGGCCCCTCGGGGCCTCGTTTTGGGCCTCTTGGGGGCCTCGTGGGGCCTATAGGGGCCTCCTGGGGACCTCTTGGGGCGGAAGGCTCGAATTGTCGATTCGTGTTCCCCCTATGGAGCTGTTCTTGGGGCTGTCTTTGTCTTGTTCTCCTCTTGGGCCCTTTGGGGTCCCTCTTGGATCGTTGCGGGGCCCTCTTGGGGACCTCTTGGGCCGTCTTGGGGCAGTCTTTGGGGCCTCTGGGGCCATCGTTGAGCGTCGGAAGCCCGAACTCGCGAGAACGCGACAAGCAAAGATAACGCAAGGAGCATCGCTGACTTTTGCCTCTTTGGGTCCTCTTGGGGGTCCTCTTCGAGCGCTCTTGGGGCTTCTTTGGGGCGTCTTGGGGCGTCTTGGGGCCATCTTGGGCGTTTTGGAGCGCTCTTGGGCTTTCCTGGAGGCCTCTTGGACCCTCTGGGGCGCTTTCTGGGGCCCTTCTGGCCTGTGTTGGGGCCCTCTGACCTCTGGAATAGTCATGCGGGTCAGCTCAGGAACGCGAGGGAACGCCCATGCAATTGGAGATTTTGGGGCCCCAGCGGAGAACAGAGAGCACATGAGGACCTGCAACACAGTCTACTTCGCGCTTCGCGGCACGGTGCCGTGTATGTATGTCTGTCTGTATGTCTGTATATGAATATGTACGCATGTACTATGTATGTATGCATGTTTGTATATATGTATACATTCCCGAATGTATGCATGTATGTACATATGTATGTATGTATGCATGCATGTATGTATATACATATGTATATGTATACGTATATGTCTATGTATACGTATATGTATGTGTATGGGTATATGATTATGTATATGAATTTGTATATGTACATGTACAGGTATAGGTATGTATATGTATGTATGTATGCGTGCGTACGCACTTGTGTGCGTGATTGTATGTTTGTATGCGTGTGTATATATGTATGTATATACGTATGTCTGCATGTATGCATGCATGCCTGTATGCACGCTTGCATGTGATTATGTATATATACAAGTACGTACGTGCGCACCTACGTAATTATGTATACACGATGTATGCATGTGTTTACGTGTGTGTATTGGCATAGGTAGATTTCATGTATGCGTGTAGGCAAGGGTGTACGTTATATGTATATATGTGTATACAAGTATTTGTGGATGAACGCATTTTGTATAGAATTATGCACACATATACGTATATGTATAGGTGTATTCAAGTGTATACGTGCGAACATGTGTATATGTATGTGTAGACCGTATTTGTATAGGTGTATGTATGAGCATACGTGCATGTACGGGTATGTGCAACTGTACATGTATACGTTTATGTATACGTATATGTGTATGTATATGTATATGCATACATGTTTGTGCATGTGTATATGTATGTGTATGTGTATGCGTAGGTGTATGTGTATAGGTGCATGTGTATGTATGCATGCATGTATGCACGTAATTACGTACTTGTATAAGTATGGATGCATGCATGCATGCATTATTTACTTCGCGCCATGCACCTTGGTCCTTGAATTTTGGTATGCATGTGGAACAGCAGGAAGGTCAAGTCGACAATTGAGCGATACTTCCTTGTTGCCTTTTCCGGCATCGCTGCTATAATAATGTTATTCGATATCTCTCCTCCATGCTTCTTTTTTCATTTTCGCCATATTCTGCGCATTCTCCCCATCCTCCTCAGCTTTTTTTCTGCAGAGGCTCCACCTTGGAGAGCCTCTGGGGGCCTAACAAAAGTTGCTTCAGGCTTTCTTAAGGCCTTCTGGAGGCCTCCTGGGCGTATTCTGGGGGCCTCTGGGGCTTCTTCGGGCCACCCTGCCTCCAACCGCGGTCTCCCTGAACGACCGGGTCACGATGTGGAATGCTTCGGAGGGTGTTTTGGGGCCATCTTGGGCCGTCATGGGTCTTTCTGAGGGCCATCTTGGACCCGTGTTGTGCCGTTTTGGGGCTCTCTTGGACTGCCTAGAAGCCCTTTCGGATGGTAGTGGGGCGATTTTGGAGCCTCCCAGGCGGCTTCGGACGCCCAGAAGACCGCCGTCTTGGAGCGTCGGGAAGCCGAAAAGAGGAGAACCCCAACTTTCACCGAAAAACCAGCAGAAAGTCAATGATTTTTGTTTCTTGGGGCCTTCTTGGGATTGCTCTTGGAGGCCTCTTTGGCAGTCCTGGAGGCCTGTTGGGCCATCTTGAGGTCACGTCGGTCACTCTTGGAGCGCTCTTGTACTGTGTTGGGGGTCTCTGGGACGTCTCCGATGACCCCCCTGATCGCCCTAGGTGTGCTGGGAAGGCTTGGCTCCTAGATGGCCACAAGCTTGCCAGAAGAGACCACAAGGACAGCGCGAGCGGGTCCCACAATGTCCGCGACAGGGCCTCGACAGGCAAGTTCAGTTGATTTCCGTTGGTTTGTTGAAGGGTTCTGGCTCCAATATGCTTCCAAGAGGGCCCCAAGGTACCAAAACAGTGAAACACTAAGGAACAAGTGTTTGGTTTTGAAGACAGCGTTTTTTCGCTTTCGATGGGCTTCTCAGGTTTCTGGATGGCCGTCAAATTGCTGAAGCGTGCCCCAAGAGGAGCCCCACATGGCCACAAGACGGCCCCCAAAGACCTCAAAGAGTGCCACGCAGACGGCTTTCGAAAGAGTCAGACGGGCCAAGAACGCCCTAGTTGAGCCCGAAGCAGTCCCAAGACGGTCGACCAAGGCACCCAGAACCCTTCAAGGTGGCCCCGAGACTGCCCAAGATGGCCTTAAGACGGACCTCGAGGCCGCCAGGACGGCCCAACATGGCCTCCAGACATCCAGCACAGCTCAAGATGGCCCCCAGACGACCCCAAGACCCCCAAGGGGCTCTTCAGGTAGTCCAGATCCTTCAAACATCAACGGAACGCCATGGCTTTTGAAGACCCCGCCTCTTCTCTTCCGGTGTGCCTCTGAGGCCTCGGGATGATCCAAGAATGGCTCCACGGGAGCCAGCGAAGTGAACCCCACCCTCCCCCTCAGAAACCGTGGGGGGTAGGGGTACACCTTAGGCGATGCTTAAGAAAACCCAAGTTTTCGGCCAGAGTCTCGATTATTCTTAATGTTTCAATGTAAATCCTAAGATTTTGATAGAAATTGTGTGTTTTTATTCGAGTTCTGAGACCTTGAATTTCTTAACCCATGATTTCTTAACCATTTCGCGTGGGGCAGGGCTCGCGCGTGGCCCCCCGAAGCGTGCAGTTGCCGCCACCTCTCGAGGCCTCCGGGGCGACGCGGCGGCAGGCAGGGCCACGCAGAGCCGGGCGAACGAGGAGCAGGAGGAGGAGGAGCAGGAGGAGGAGGAGGACGAGAAGGAGGAGGAGGAGGAGGAGGAGAAGGAGGAGGAGGAGGAGGAGGAGGAGGAGGAGGAGGCGAACCGCGCCACCAGCGAGCACCGCTCCCGCGGGCTCCGGGCGAGCACTGCGGCGGAGGAGGGCGGGGCTGCGCAGGTCCAGGCGAGGCGTCTGTGGCCGCTCGCGGGGGCTCCCGGGAGGATCACGGCGGAGGGCGGGGCCACGCGGCCGCCTTGGCCCTGGCACCGCTCGGACGTGTGCATTTTTTTCTCGGCGAGGACCATCCAGGACCATCCTGGACCATCGAGCAAAAAAACACACACGCACGAAACCAAAGAATTCACGGGAAATGGACGTCCGAGCGATGGCGAGTACCATTGGGGGCGCTGCCGCGATGTGTGAAGGGATCGTGGCGTCGAGGGCGCAGCTCTGGCGCGATCTGCAGAAGATCGTGGCCTCGGTCACGCGAACGCAGCGTCATCTGCCAGAGATGGTATCCCGGAGGGCGCCACTCTGGCGCAGTTTACGGGGGATCGTATTCTCGGGGGCGCGAACGTGGCGCAGTACATGTCCTCCTTCCATGCTCTCTTTTTTTCTCCTCCTCCTCCTCCTCATTCTTCTTCTTCTTCTTCTTCTTCTTCCTCCTCTCCCGCCGCTCCCTTCGACAGGGCGGCGCCGACGCCCTGGAGGACGCCGGGGACGGCGAGAAGGTCGCCGAGCCCGTCGAGGCCTGAGCGGGGCCGCCGCAGAGGAGCGAGGCACCGCGCAGGCGGGAGTCCGAGCACCGGGCGTGTATGCGGTACGGCGGCCGCGCGCGGCACGTGTCTGGAACGCAGGTCCCCTTGCGTGCGGTGGCGAGTCGTGGGGGCCTGTTGCCGGGGGGCTTGGCTCGCCATCGCCACCACCACGGGCAGGAGTGGGAGGGGGTTCTGCTCCGCAGCCTCCTCATCCTCCACCTCCTTCCCCCCTCCAGCGTAGGGTGGTGGCGGTGCTGGAACGCAGGCCCATCAGGTGTACCCTCGTGATTCCGTCGCTGGCCTGGATTAGCGTCGATTGGCGTCTGGGAGCCGATGAGATACCGCAGATTTGGCGCCCGGCCAGCGTCGATGAGCATCGATGCAGCGTCGATTAGCGTCGATTTGGCGTCGACTGGCGTCGATTCGCAAGGGCCGACAAGATGTCAAGGGAGGCTCCCAGGAGTTGCCACCGAACCCTGCGCCCGGCCCGCTTTCCTCGGGGGCCCCAAGTCGATGATGATCCAGGCCTCCCAGACGGGGTCGGAGTAGACTGGGTCGGAGGATCGCGCCGCATCGCCGACGCACCGGCGATGCGGCTCGATGTGGAGCCCGATTCTCTCCACGCCCACGTCGCCGATGCGTCGCCGATCCATCGCGCATCGCCGATGCATCGGCGCTACATCGGCGATGCGGTGCAGTCCGCCGACCCGAGCGACTCGGACCCCATCTGGGAGGTCTCTATAGATGACCTGTGCGGCCTGTTGTCCCGGGGGCGGGGGAGGCTTGCGGCGTGCGGCTGCCCGCCGCGCCCGGGGAGCTCATATAAGTAGGGGCGGGGGGCCGGAGCCCTGGAGTCCAGGGCTTGCAGGAAGCGGTGTTTTTTGGGCGACCTCGTGGGCCGTTTTCGTTTATTGTTTTGTCTTGCAGCAGACGCGGAAGGAGGACAGAACGAGGAAGACATAACTTGCCAGCCTGGTGCATATCCCTATCCCTATGCTGGGCACACGGTGCCCATCTTAGGGATTCCCTCATTTTTTGAGGGCGAATCCCTAAGATTGTCATCGCCTTTTGGCGTGTCAATCCTAGGGATAGGGATACGTTCGAGGCTGGCAGATAACACACACACACACAGCGAGCACGGGAGAGACACGGCGTGGCTCGAGCCCTGCTCGAGCCACGAAGCGAGAAGCAGTGTTCGACCTCTGGGGGCCCTCACCCGGGGGGGGGGCAACGCTTGCCGGGGATGGGCTCAGGGAGGGACGATGCCGACGGGGGCCTGGTGGCCCCTCCCGCCCAGGACTGAATTCGCCGTCGGGGTCTACTCGTCGATCCATCGGCGATGTGTCGCCGATTCCGGGTCGATGCTTCCACCCAGGAGCTGGCCCCCCGTCACATTCCTCCTCGGCGGGGCTCGCCGCGAAGCAAGGCCAGAGCCCCTCGACCCGCGACGAGAATCACGCCTGGAGGTTTGCCCCGGGGCCCCGGGGCAGGGGGCCGAGGCCTCCTCCGCGGGGCCGCCGCGACGTCGTCGGGTCGGGGAGGAGTCCTGAGGGCAGCGCGGGCCCCGGGTCTTCTGCCGCGTTCGGGCCTCTGGGGCCCTGCGCGGGAAGGGGACTCGGGACGAGGAGAGGACTCCTGGGGGGAGGCCTCCGGGGGCCCCAGGGCCCGGGAGGGCCCGCTCCTCTCGCGGCAATCGGAGGGGAGGGGAGGAGGGGGGCTGGGCAGGGCCGCCGACGATGCCTCGGTGCGAGTCGATGCGCAGGCTGGGGACGCGATTCCGATGCGGTTCCGATTCGGCTCGACTCGCTGGCACCGGTCGGGGCCAGCGCTGGAGCCGGGCGCGGCGCTCCGACGTCGATGCGATGCGGCATGGTCCGCTGGCGATCCGATGCGTTGCCGACCCGCTCCGATTTGGTGATTCGATATCGATCGAGGATCGATCGATCGATCGAGGGATCGAGGGATCGATCGAGGATCGATCGAGGGATCGAGGGATCGAGGGATCGATCGATCGGGGATCGATCGAGGATCGAGGATCGATCGGTCGAGGATCGAGGGATCGAGGGATCGGCCCCGGTGGGCGGAGGAGCTCGATCGAGGATCGAGGGATGGAGCAGCCCAGGGTCAACGCCAGGGGGAGCCTGGCTCGGGCGGGGAAGACGTCGAGCCCCCCTGTCGCTGAGTCGAGCATGTCCCTCTCTACAGGGGCAACATCCAAAAAGTAGTAAAGAAATAGTCTGGGGACGATTTTTTGACCATCTCTGATCATTTTTGCAGATCTTTGGAGCATCTGTTAACGGGCCGGACGAAAGGGGGGGATTGGGAAAAGGGGGTACGAAATTTGCTGCATGCAGCTGGTTTCGGCCTCACCGAGAGGCCCATTCCTCGAGGCGCCGGGAAAATCAGCTACATGAGCTGATTTTCCCCCCCCCTTTGCGATCCCCCCCTTTCGCCCGACCCGATGTTCTTTTCCGTCCAAGCGGTGCCTCGCCTCGCCCAGGGAGCCGCGGCTGCGCCGTCGGTGTCCCATCGCGGATCCATCGGCGACGCAGCGCCCTCTCCGAGGCGCTGCCCCCCCCCCTGAGCCAGTCGCCCCCCCCCCCCCCCCAATCGCTCCCCCTCGGCACCGAGGAGGAGAAGACGTCGGGCCGAGGAGCGGCGAGGAGGAGAGCGTTGCCCCCCCCCCCCCCCCCCCCCCTGAGCCAGTCGCCCCCCCCCCATCGCTCCCCCTCGGCACCGAGGAGGAGAAGACGTCGGGCCGAGGAGCGGCGAGGAGGAGAGGAGGTCGCTCGAGGAGCGAGCAACTATCCCATCGCTCCCCCATCGGCACCGAGGAGAAGGCGTCGGGCCGAGGAGCGGCGAGGAGGAGAGGAGGTTCAGGAGGCCTGGAAATGGGCACCAACACCCACACAGGGCGTTGCCTCCACAGGGGGAAGACGATCCCAGATTTTCGGTGTTGGTGGCAATAGTTCGGCCACCTTGGAAGCTAGAGTATTACCACCATCACCGAGATCGGGATCTTCTTCCCCCGGCGGAGGCACACCGCCGAAATTTGGTGTTGGTGTCAACCTCTAAGCCTGCGACGTCGGGCCGAGGATCGGCGAGGAGGAGAGGAGGTCGCTCGAGGAGCGAGCAGCTGTCCCGGGCCGCCGCCGGAGGAGGGGCACGGGGGTCGGGGGGGCGGAAGAGAGAAGGGTGATGACTGGGGGGGGTGGATATCATTCAGGAGAGGAAAAAACACACAGACACAATTAATCGACGATTCCCCAGAAAATACGGGAAAATATGGGAAGTGGGGGGGAAGACAAAAACCCAGAAAATATGAGAAAATATTGGGATTTTTTTATTTGTGTGTATTTATTTGTGTGTTCCAGTTCCCCTTCAGACTAGGGGGGGTGGATATCATGGCGGGGGCCACGATATCTCCCCAGATTTCACGGCGCCTCTTCTTGTTTCAATACGTCCCTGGCCCCCCCGCTGGGCCGCGCACATGCCGAATGCCATGATTTGCACCCCCCCCTCTTGCACGCCCTTTTTGCCGCCCCCAAGGGGGCGGGGGGTGGGATCGAGGCCCGGCAAGGTCGAGGGTCAGAGTTTTGAGTCGGGCACGCTCCTCTACGGGAGGAACCTTCGAGAACGGTCCACAAATAGTCGGGCGCCGATATTTTTTGGACTGTTTTGGAGCATTTTGGAGCATTTGTTTGGATTTTTGGTTGTTCGTCCAGGCCCGGCGGGGTCGAGGGTCAGAGTTTTGAGTCGGGCACGCCCCTCCACAGGAGGAACAGTCGAGAGCAGTCCAACAATAGTCGGGTGCCGATTGTTTGGACTATTGTGGAGCATTTGATTGAGCATTTGTTGGGACTTTTGGTTTTTCGTCCAAGATCCGCCTGCAGGGGGATGCGCC